CGCTTATCTTGGGCACCAAGAGGAGTGCGAATGCGGCTTGCATCTTGCATTGCTCCGAGGGCTGATTCTGCTGCGTCGTTGAGAGCGTGGAAGACTGAACGAGTCTCAAGTCCCAAGCATTCCTTGGGCAAGCTCCGGGAGTTCGGGTTACATCCAAATTACAGCCCTATAACAGGTCTTACTGTCTTACACTGTCAGGGGAAGCACTGTTTGGCCTCGACTTCCGCGCTCAAGGTACGGGCATTAACGACAGTTCGCTTCGAAGATATCAAATATGTATCACACTGTTTCACAATCTTGCACATCGAACCCTACTACACCTAATACTTGCTTCCATATAATGCACCGTGATTCGTGATGTCCGGGACTTCAGATGTCAGCCACTGAACGCCGTGAGTTTCTCGTTCCAATGTCTATGATGATGTCTATCAATGAAATCTGCGCCAGCACCACAGTTTCAGTTTCACCTTTCGAAGCGTATGTCAATTGTCAATCTTATATTTTCTATCATCGTTGCCGCGCTTAAGAGCCAGTTTCTGCGGTTACTGTGATCACCTCGGCTCCTCGGACACGGCCATGCGAGGTGCGAAAACGCCTCGCAGATGGGTTTTTTCGCCGGCTGCCTGGAATGCGATGATGATGATCCGTACAGATGGCTCGACCAAATCGAACTTTCCGTTGCGATCTTCTTAAAGAATCGGATTTCCGAGCTTCTATGCCACAATTCCTTCTTCTATACATATTGCACTATGCATATTTTTGAACAAAACACCTCCCCCAAGAGCCTCATTATGGAGAAACCTCGACCTTTTTATTTGCGCGTACTAACCGCTAAAAAAGCGCAAGCGCGGTTTCTAAGCCGGCGCGGTCCTTCGAAAATCCGGTCGCAAAGCCTAGTCCACCATTCATTTACGAGTTCACCCAACGTGAGAGTGGGAGTAGAATCATATCGAGATGGATCAATTGAGCAGAGGTATCGGAATTTTTCATTCTCTTTCAGAGCGCACAGGGAAGGAACTTGAGGATGTCAATTCCTCGGTCGGTTCTTCTCCGCGTCGACACGTTTCTGCGACGAGAACACCTAGTCGACGGTTGAAGAAATTGATTGATATCTATGTTAATCACACTGGGAATCATTTGGATAGTCCACAGAAAAGATTTGGGTCACAATCTACATGCGGAGCAATTATCGAGATAGCTGACCTGCATTCAAACAGAACAAGTCTCTGAGAGAGTCATCTTAACCCCTTCACTGAATCAGTTACCAAAGTGTATGAGATGAGGTTTGTTCTGAGACGTCACGAGTTCCGTCTCGAGCCTTGGTGTGCCAGTCTCGCAGGGAGAAATTCCTGTTTGGAGATGATTGACCGAAGGTACGGGGGAGCCATCGCTCTGCTCATTCCAGCGGCCCTAGAGTAGGCTATTGGTAAGCCTTCGTCGCAAAGAAGAGGTGATGAGTCTTTCTGGGGACCTATCACTCCTTTTCGCGTTGCCCTGAAATCTATAGAAATAAACCTACGCCGCTAGAGAGGTTCCCGATTTCCGGTAGCAATCGTGCCCTCTCGGAGAAGCACAAGGGACAGGAAGAGAAGCTCGCGGAGCCCGATATAGCTCCAGTCGCTTCGATGATGACGGTCACAAGGATGGGACTTCCTATCCTATACGAATATAGATAGACTGGGAACGTGAAGATGATGATTGCCGCGAGCCGCCTGCCACGACTCGAAGGGGATGGGCAGAAGAGAACTGCGGCCATCGCCCCCACGGATCGCACAGTCAGACCCGGGCGACGCTCTTGATTTTCGTGCGCTAGCGAAGATCGCCGACAAGATTATCGCTCAGCGCCGAGTGTCGGTCATAAACGAGGAGAGGATCTAGCAGAGGTTGACGCCGCCGTCCTGAGACCTCCGAGGGGCGGAACGAAGCAGGGCAGAGTTCTGAAGCCGAAGGAGCCGGGCAAGTGTCGATCCACGCCAAATTCGGCGAGAGCTCGAGAAATTGCCTCGTGCCCTGCTCTCGGAACGGTAAGATCGCTGCACCAACCACGGGAAACACCCGTACCGGCCGCCAGTGATTGCTTACGCGGTTTTTTGTCTCTTGTGTTTTCTCGGGTTAGCAGTTCCTTGTAGATACCGGGGCCCAAGTAAGCGTCTTCCCGCCGTCGCAGAACGAGCGCAAGTCCCCGTCTAAAAAAGCATCATCTCGTGGCTGCCAACCACAGCAGTATCATTACATACGGCACAAAGAACTTGAAGCTGATGTCCTCCAAGCATACGTGGAGATTCATCATTGCGGACGTCAAGCATGCGATTCTGGGATCGGATTTTCTCAGGAACGGAGCTGATTATAGACCTTCGTCAGAGGAGTCGTATCGACAGGGTCTCGCTGGTATCCATCCCCCTGCAATTGCCACAGACCCGGAATCTCGTAAGCATCCTGACGAAAGCGAGCAACGATTTCGAAGCCCTTCTTCTCGAGTTCCCAACAGTTCTCACACCCCACCTCGACGCTGAGGTCAAGCACGGCGTTCTGCATTACGTTCTTACCAAAGGCCCACCGAAATTCGCCATGGCGCGCCGGCTGGCTCCCGACGTACTGCGGGAGGAAAAGAAAGAGTTTCAACCGCTGGAAAAACTGGGAACCATCAAGGAGTCCTGCAGCCCCTGGTCGAGCCCTCTTCAGGCAGTCGGGAAGGCCGACGGCTCCATTAGACCCCGTGGGAACTTCCGCCAGGTGAATAACGTCACCAAACCCGACCGGTATCTGCGTCCACATATTCAGGTTCCTCGGGGGACCTGCACAGCTGTACGAGTTTCTTCAAGATAGACTTGGTGAAGGGATACCATCAGATCCCGATGGCTCCTGACGATATACCGAAGACCGCCATCATGACCCCTTTTGGTCTCTGAGAGTACATCAGAATGCCTTTCAGGCTGAGGATCAGTGCACAAACGTTTCAACGCCTCGTGGATTCCGCTCTTAGTGGCCTCACGTTCACATTCGTCTATCTTGACGACGTTTTAGTCGCCTCGAGAAATGGGACGCAACACCTTGAGCCCCTGAGAACCTCATTAGACCGGCTAAGAGACCACGGACTCGTTGTCGAACAGAGTCAAACAGAGCGAATTCGGGCTTCCCGCCGTCGATTTCCTCGGGCATCTCGGGCTTCGGCGAAGGGTATTTCCCCGCTGGCAGAGAAGGTCCATCCTACCATCGCTTCCCGCCGTCGATTTCCTCGGGCATCTCGGGCTTCGGCGAAGGGTATTTCCCCGCTGGCAGAGAAGGTCCATCCTACCATCGCTTACTACCACAGGCGGCAGGGATCATGGCACCGTCGATAGAGGCTTCGGACGTGGACTCGAAAGCCAAGAAGGATTCTGTACCGTGGAATAACCGAACAATCAGTTCTTTCCTCGCGACGAACGAATTGCTGGCAAATGCGAGTATGCTCGTGCATCCAAAGGAAAACGCTCAACACGCCATCGTAACCGATGCTCCGGACGTAGTGGTAGGCGCCGTGCTCCAGCAGCAGCTCGTAGGCGGGACGTGGCAGCCGCTCGGTCTCTTCAGTCTTACTTTCAGTCTGGAAGAAAAAGGAACACCGCTTCCGGCGAAATGACAACGACATCTCAAATTCATAGCAGAGCTGACCTCGGACATCCGTCATATCTCAGGCCGAAAGAACGTGGTCGCCGATGCTCTTTTCCGACCGTTCGACATCAGCACCGTTTCTTTGGGCCTGGATTATCATCAGCTTGCGGTCGATCAAAGCGCGCATTCTGTTTACAAGAATCGCGGCTCCGGATGCCCAAGTCTCGAGTGGGAAAGCATCGAACTGGTTCCAGGTGGGCCAAAACTGCTCTGTGACATTTCTACGGGCAACCTGAGACCCTAGCTCCCGAGAGCTATCCGAATCAGCTCATTCGGCTACAGATCTCCCGGTATTTTTGTGGAATTTCCCCCTCAGATAGACGCATCCCTATAGCGTCAGGGGATGCTTGTCCGGCCGCTGGGAGCATTAGCAACGAAGAATTGATTCACCTTTTCCATCGATGCGGCTCCAGTGTTCTACGGTTCGCGACGCCGCGATGTCCCGACCCGTTCTGAGCTGAGCTGCACGTGATCTCCTCCGGAAACCAGGGAATCGACAGCTGACATGAGTGATACCCCAATCCTGGGGCTTGATCCCTCTATAGGTCCGCGGTGACAGCATCTAGAGTTCTCTCTATGACTCTAACTCTAAATCACTCTAGGTATTCGGATTTTCCTCCTTCTGAACTCAATGAAGTGGTTCGCGAGATTTCGAGTCTGATAACGGTAACGCGGAGGATTGAGGCCAGTCGCTCTTGAAGCGACGAAGGAACACGAAGTCATCGGAAGGGCTTCCCATCGGTCTCTTATCGTTAGTGCTCACTGAGTCCCGGCCCCGTTTTCTTGGGCCTCGGAGCCCGCTGTCCTGTCACTCTATGTCTTAGATTCCACGTCGTAATCGCTTACTGACCGGACGAGCGACCTTATTGTCATCTGTCCCAATCATCACCATGAGACAGGAGCAGAGTCAGGGACGATTTCTCCCGGAGCCCACGACGAAAGCCTGTCCACGATATCGCTGATTCAAATTCAGTTCGAAGGCTTGGGACAGATTGCGTAAGGCAGGTCGCGTTCCCCGAATGAATGGAATGCCGCGAGTCTCACTCACTCTGACGTCTGAAGCTTGAATTTGAAAAAGTCTGAGGAGACGAGCATCCATAGTCAATAGATTCCAGTCTGCACGTTCCTGAGAGCGTTTCGTCCAGTTTGTCTCGGCTCTGTGTAAACGAGTGAGCGGGGAGAAGTTTACCGGACAAATTCCGCTGGACGAAGCTTGGAATCATCTGAGCCCCTCGAGGGCTGTATCCAGCTCGGAATCGAAGGATCGGAAATAGCTGCAGGTGATTGCTGCCTTCCATGTATCACCATGAACCCTGAGACACCAATTTTCGATTAAATAATAATCATCATAATACTTTATTTCATCATGCTCAGCGAGCAGAATATTTTTCTTCAAATATCACGATATCTGGTTATCTCCCACCGCACCAGTCGGGGAAGAGCCTTGTTTCTCCTCCGCAGATTAATAGGTTCGTCTACGGCGACAAGTCGTTGTCACTATCCCCCAGGGCCAAGACGTCCATGTCATCCACCATTCTCTGCATCTCTTTGAGACCCGTTAATTCCTCGAGGAAGTCTGGTTCGTTGAATGCTCGGAGCAGGAACTCGAAACCCGAGTTCCCGTACTCCGAGAGAACACTCGGAGAACAAGCAGTACACATCGAGAAACGCTGCGTGTTCGGCGTCATGAAGTGCAGTCTGCTGAGGAACATCCTGATCTGGTGGGGTGCTAGACCCAAAACATTATTTGGCGAGTCCCTTTCATTCCTGTCCAACTCATCCGCGTCGTCGTTGAAGGCGTTGTCCGGGAGCGCATCGTTCCCATGTTCATGTTGCACGAGGGTGGCAAAAAGCTCCGTCAGGAACGACGCCGCCATGAAACTCACGCCGGGTCGGGTCACGGTGCACTGTTGATCCAGCGTTCGATCCTTGGTCGAGTTCATGGGGCCCACGATATCGTTGCAGAAATAACATCCCAGCTTGTTCTTGAGCGTACCGTGTCGCATTGCCAGGAACGAGTCGAAGCCCAACGCTGCGTTGAGGACCATCTTGTCATGCCGAGCTCCGAGCATCGTCGGCAACCAGCGAGCTTCCCTGGTATCGAGCAGGAGGAAAACGGCGTCATGCTCTTCGATGAGCTTCTCGAGTTTCTCCACCGCCTCGCGCACAGGTTCGACGTCGTTCGCCGATACAGCGTGACCCGGCATCGGGATTTTTAGATCTGTATATTGAACGTTCAATCCCGGATGGATATCCTTGAGAGCTGCAGCAGCCGCTTCGGCCTTGGGACGACCGCCGTTGTGAGTATCGGCGAATTTAAACAACGATTGACGCGCGGGATTAGATAGCGACACCTTGCCGTTATCGAGGAAGGTTATCTGTTTCACTCCCCAGCCCAGAAGACAGCGAGCCACGTTACAGCCTAGAGTCCCAGCCCCTAATAAAAGGCACTTCATCTCAGATATTTGTTTCAGCTTGAGATCGGGGGCCAGACGCCACTTCATCAGTTTCAAGTTGAGATCGACGGCGTTCTGAGCTAGAACCAACGGATCAAAGCAGTGCGAGAGGTTCGCGAGTCTCGGTCCGTACTGGCCTTTCTCGTTCCTTTCGTAGCCCACGTAAATCCACCCGGGCTCCTCGAACGTCACCTTGAGCAGTCTGACTGAAAATATTTTGGATTTTTCGAAAAACGTCCGTGGTGTTCCCCGCAAGGCGATCACTTCAAAGTCCGACGTTTCGTTCGGCATGTGATAGGCGGTCATGAGCAGAAAATTCCTCAGCGGCCAACCGGCGTTCGTCTCGGACGATGAAGGATCGGCGAAGACGATGTAATGCGTTCCACTGATATCGTCCTTCATTTTCGAGACGGGACACCGCTCGAAGGTAGTCTTGTTTATCAGCGCGAATGGTAGGTTTCCAACGTTTTTCGCCAATCGTTCGCGGTTCTGGTCCGAGAGCCTGTCGCTCACGGGAATTACGGATCCCAGCTGGTGTTGGGTATCGTTGAGCATGGCGGAAGGGAAGGCACACCAATAATAGAAGAAATATTTCTTCATGTCAGCGTACGACAGCAGGAGAATTCGATTAAGAAGATTAGGATCTTCGAGAGCAGCGCCCGATTTTATGTTCGCTATGATCTCGTTCATCGAAGTTTCCAGGAGGTTCTTCTTGTCGCAATTCTTGAACGTTTCGATGCTGTTTTTGTTCAACAACTTCCCCGCCAAACGGTATACACGAGAGTTTCCAGCCGAAACGTCAAACGAATCGTAGCTTACGCAAGCGACGGCGTCTTTGATGTTGAGGTTCACTTCGTACTCCGCATGGAACTCTACAGGATCTTCACAGAGCTTCAGCTCGTGTAGTTTCTTGTCACTGAGTTTGTGCCAGAAATGCAAGTCTATCTGAGAGGAGAATGGGGTGTACCGAAATGGCTCCATCGGCGCTTCGGTGCTCTCAGGAACAGACATTTCACTGAATTTACACAGAGTCAGGTTTGATCGGGCACGCCTCGAGACCCGCCCGCTCGCGCACAGAAATTCCCTCTCGGATTTCACAACTGAATCGACTGCGGGAAATACGGGCACCCCTCGTACTCATGAATTGAGGAGGGGAGTAATTCGAATTCAGCTGTTCGCTTGATCATTGATCGGCTAACGGGTAGAGTACAACCTTTGGCGTGGTAGGCACCGACCGGCGACGACAGACCCGCGAATCATGAATCATGAAGGTGAACAGGGAAGGAATACATACTTTATTTCGGATAGCAGTAGTTATGGATAGCCACGGGGCGTTTTCGGAAGTCGACTGATGGGCGCCCAGTCACGCTTGTCACGCTTCTTGCAATGGAAGATCCGCCAGGATAGAGATGAAAGTATCCCCCTATCCCCCTATATAATAAAAGCGCTATGTCTGCCTGACACCGGACCACTTTTTAGAGCTCTCCACCTCCGAACAGACCCCAAATTTTCCCGATCTTGAATCGTATGCACCGAAGCCTCGGTTCGGCCATATCGATTATTCGAGGCATGGGTTGATCCGAAGAGCGCAGGCGGCTGGTAGCCTCACCTAAATGGATCAGAAGCACACATCATGGAAACGGAGAACGGAATTCCAAAATCATCGAGAAAGACGTACAAAAGCTGCGCAACTTTCCGCGGAGAGATGAGTCTGACCTCACATGATGGACGAGAACTCTTCGCACTCGGCGAGGGGCTAGACCACATCGCCGCGTGCAACCGATGATGTGAATCTGCGGCTCTAATGAAGATTCCTATTACGGGGACGCGAGTTCATAGGAATACACGGCGGGGCATTGATCAACTCGAGCGGGACTCTACCAGCAGGAGCTGAACTCTAAGCAAGAACGACCCTCAGCTTCAAATGAGCTTTTCGTTGTCCAGGAGTCGGGTTGTGTTTTGGGGCATGTCGGGACCATGCACGCCATGCACGGGGCGGGTGAGAGAGAAGCACCCAACCCTAGAGGAGTCGGAGCATGGCAGGTGTCAAGCCTCGATCGATTTCGATCAGTGATGCGAGACGGATGCATATGCATTCGGAGTGCCCATCGAGTTTTCTATTTAGTCGAGCGAAAGCACACTAGATGGGCGGAGGAGCAATGGATACTATCATTCCAATCATCAATTGCTTCGAATGCTGGCGAGTCTATTGGAACGGACATCCTCACTGGAGCATTCGTTGGGAAATTCTCCAAGTCGAATACGTCGCTTCCAGGTGTAAGGAGAGAATCATTTCTAGGCGAATCGATCGACGCCAACATCACCACTGGCAATTAGTTCAGCCTTTCTCAGGTATGAGGGAGAGGTCCCCTAGGACGGTAGTTGGTAGCTACGGGGGAATCCGAGAGCTCGATGCTCAGCTTTGTCCTTAGGAGGCAGGCAACGCTATGGTTTTTATAGAAATCTCCCAAAAAGAGCAGCTATCCTTCTCTCCACGCTTACGAAACGTCTGAATACAGGTTGCTGCGAGGCATCTTTGAGCAACTTTTTATGAAGCTTCAGATAAGCCGCTCTGAACAATTTGTTGTTCCCCTTAGCGAGGCATAAAGAAGAATTTCCGTCTCCTCCGAATGCCCTATCGGCATCGTGGTCCGGAAGGGTATAGGAAGAGGAAAGTACAAAGGGCACCATGAAGATTCGAGCTTTTGATCATAGTGATCTGAGATCGCGGCGAGATCGTTCCAAGTCGGCGACCGTCAGCTGGCCGTGTTCGTTTGAGAATTTGAGCATCGCCGCGAGGAGAAGCTGGAGGAAATTCTTTTCTGCCAACAGGACTCGACCCAAGCACCTCTGGCGAAGTCCCATTTCGGCCGCTTCTCAGGAATATCACAACGATTCGCTCCCGGTCGGATTTGACAAGAGACAGTGAAGATAGAGATGTCCGTCGAGGACAAATGAGTCTCAATCTTTGAAAATATCGTTCCGAAAATAGGAGAATCAGACTTCTTGGCAAATCTCGATAAGGAGCGGATTGTGGATAATCGTCGCGTCGCCTTTCGCGCGCGATATAAGGATCGCGGTGTACATATACGGTGCTCGAGGGTCAAGGAGGACGGTGTTGCTATCTCCACCGGCGCTCAGACGTGATGGATCACTGTACGGCTCGTCGTGGATCTGATAAGCTCTGAACTCGTCAGGAACATAAGAACTTGTGCTGAGGTGGCTCAACATGGTCAAGGGAGTCATGGTCAAGGACATTCAACCTGTCTACGTGGGAAGCGCTCGGGAGGGCGGACGAGTCGCATTACGGTTATTCCTCTTCCGAATATCGCACGAACAAAGTAGCGGATGGGCTCATCCTCCCAAGTCCCAACAATAGATGGTGTGAAACCTCGCTCTTAGTTATGCACGGACTCTGACCCTCTTCCCCGCCTGAGCTCGTTAGTATTTCGGTGGATTCAGACTGAGAACGCAGGGCCGATTATCCGAGTCAAAACTATATCGAGTGCAGGGGAAATAAGTGAGGTACAAACTCATGTAGTTGCTGACCGAGCCCACGTGCATCGACTTCATCATCAAAAACGAAAGTGTATCCAACCGCGTCCATTTCCCTCAAGTCCGTGAACGGGCACAGGCACCCGCCTCGTGACTCTCATATCCAGAGTTTTTCCACGAGGCCTCCACTGGGTAGTTTTCATCCTGTGGTTTCCTCGGTTTTCTCATTGTGAGTTTCACCTACCTCAGTGTTCTCACCTTGTGGCTTTCCACTGGTGGTTTTCACCTTGTGGAAACTCCCCCCTCACGTGAGTTCCCGGCCGAGGGAGTTTATTATTGAGCGAGACGGAGCGCTCTCTTTTTCGCATGGTAACCGGCGTAGCATTCGGGGGAGAGTGCGGATTTCCCGATCGGCGGCTCGAATAATAAGGGCTTAGAATAAGAGCGCTCGCTCCAGAGGGCTCCCCTTTTCGGCGAAGATTCGCTAAGGAGCTTTGAAAGTTTGACAACCTTAGATCATGGCCCTTAGAATAGAGCTGCAAGTTGGAAGATATCCCGTTCATGCCAGTCATTTTTCAGCGACGATGAACGCTCGATCGACCTTCGGGAAAAATTTCCCCCGCCGGCTGATCTCGAGCCGAAGCGATAGTCTTGAGCGTCAACGAGCGGGAATGGGCAGGTGGAATGGAGGAGCTTTCCAGAAAGCATTGGCAAAAGGGAGGGTATATTCTGATTTCTCGCCTTCTCTCGCTGAGATGATGCTTCCCATCAGGGAGAGATAGTTGTCATTCGATAGAATACCCGTCGAATGAATTCGCCGGAGGAAGATCGCGGTGCGATGTGACTAGAGATCATTGTTCTCAGTCAATCAGGCTCTATCGAATCCATGCTGTTTGTTCATCCCGGTGCATCACAGACGGAACCTAAACTTCATGCTAGGTGAAGTCGCCTTTTGCCGTCTTGGTCCGCAACTGAAGGGGTTCCCAAACTTATTTGTCCCGCGTAACCCCTCAGTCATTTTCCAACCTTCCGCGCATTTTTCGCTCTCGAGTGAATATGTTAATGACCCTTCCTCAGCTTGTACAATCGTATGTTAGTCTCGTCTGAGGGCGACCCGTATATATGATACAAAGGATATAATGATCATGGTGATGGTGTTTGGTGATAAGTGTGATGAGAGATAACGTTCACAAAATTTTGGATCTCGATTCGACCGCGAGTACTGTAATGCGCTCGGATTGTGATATGTCCACATTCCAGATGCCTGAGCTCAACGACTCCGATCTAGCCGGTCAGCGCGACTAGTACCAGACTCGACTTCTTAGTACGTCTCCGAAATCGCTGTCTCAAAGCCGCTGAGTCTTCCTGCGATTCCCGAGGACGCTTGCATGTTCTCCTCCGCTGAGGAAGCTCTTCATCGCGAGGGATCGCCGACATCCACGCATGGTTTTGAGCATTGACCTCATGCCTCAATCTGAATCCACATACATACTATGTATGTATCTGATTCAAAAAATACAACGAGCCAACGTCGCTTCGGTATGCGCGAAACAAAATTCCGTGGAGACCAGTCGGAAGAAAATCCTGAGAATCGATGGCGCCCGGTATTTGCGGCACGCTGGGTGGGTGTCCATCGAGGGAAGGGAGACTCGGGAATCGATGTCGATCAGAAAGCTATCGGGGGAGACGCTGCAATGAAATAGTTTCCACCAGAATACTGGCTTACTCGGTTTACCTTGCGTTCTTCATCGCGACTTCTCAAACTTTCTGTTAAAATTCGAAGACAGATAATCGTTAGCCCCAATGGCCGGGGCGGGCATGACCGGCTCGATCTAAGCCGCGAGCCGCTAGCTGCTCATCGTCCCGACTCCAGTGACAGACATTTCAATCCGAGCAAAGTATTCCAAGAATCTCTACACAGACATCCCATCCATAGTATGGAATGGGAATGGGGAAGGAATCAGTAGCGTCGATATCCTCTGATTCCACTTGCGAGTTTGTCAACATTGGAGGATATCGCGGGAAAATACTCCGGCGAAAGAGACTCTGAGACCTGCAGTGAACGCGGCGTTCGCGTAGCCTAAGGAGCAAGTAAAGCACGGCGGGGCGGAGAGGGCCTGCTCAGACAGTGGGAGAAAGCTTCTTTGTGCAAAAAGTTCCAGAAACAATGCAGCAGATGGCCTTCAGCATCTGAGATTCCATTCTGAGTTCTTGTAGTCGAAGCTCTCAATACGCTATACGTGCAGGCACATGAGGCGGGAAAAACTTCAGCTGCTGTCCACGCCTAGTTTCCGGGCGAGAAATTCACTTAAAGGTCTCGCTATGAGCTTATCCACCGCCGAATGCCGACCTTCTCCGCATTTGGATCAATCTATGACTGTCGCTTTCAAATACCCTACAAAGTGAATGTATCGGACATGTAATTGATCGAGATTTTAGTAGAGAGTCCTCTAATGATGTGATAGGCATGGACTCGACGGGGTTGCGGGGAGCGAGCGGGCGGCAGATCTTTGAACTGCTGGAGTTGAACGAAAATATCGCTTACCACCGATGAGAAAATGTGATGCTACTCGGAAAAGCTTACATCAAAGCGTACACGAGCAACACGGCGTTGACATTTCCATAGGTACACTGCAATAATGCCATTCAGGCGGTCTCGAAAACAAGTTGCACGTGAGCGCCTTCGATCCGGTGACACACATGATTCCGCCGGGACTCATCCCGCGAGAGCTCGGCGTTTTTTCGCCGATTCATAGAAGCCTCGGATTGACAGGTTGCGAGAGGACTACTTCATCCTTTGATTCCTCAGCCTGTGGCTTGGGGGAATCTTCCCTCCCGAGTCCTACAACGGTAGAATACATGCCCACCCGGGGGCGTTCTCAACTATTGGCTCCCGGATATCCGGGAGGATCTCTGAGCTAAGGATATATTGAGATCCTGGAAAGAATACACAGTCCTAAGGATATATTGAGATCCTGGAAAGAATACACAGTCCCGTACACTCCAGCCCGCAGCCCGGACGTGTTTCATTCATGAGGAGCTTGATTCATGCTCATAATCTGCACATTCAAGCTATCTTACATCAGGCATGAATGTGCTGCTGATTTTTCACGGCGAAAAAGAGAAAAACAAGCAGGCCATGAAGTCTTCTATTAAATGAGCTTAACCTGGGAGCTCAGAGAGTGAGATATTGTTTCATTCGGTTTCCAAGGGAAACTAGCCAGTGGAGCTAGCCGGGAGCCCTCAACAATTTGTCGTTCTCACAGCCATCTTTATTGAAGTTTCCCCCGAGTCTCATATTTCGGAAATCACCCCGCTTCCACCATTCCGTCTGCCCGTCGTCTGACGTCAAAAACAAGATTTCAGAGCGAGTCTTAGGAAGTCGCTATAGCTGATTCGGAGAAGTCCTGTTCCGTGTTTGTCTCGCTTCCGGAAATTATCGGTTACGCGTTTGCATACCGAGCAAACTCGAATGAAAGCATCCATATGGATTGTCGTCTGAGTCCCCAGTCGTCTGACCACATTATTCACGACGCCATGATTGATGTCTCTGTAACCGAGGTCGTTGAGCGCTCTGATCATATCGTCTACACTCAGAAGACCGCGACGTGACAAGTCGTATTTCCTATAGAGAATTTGCCACTGCTCCATGAAATGGAAAAGATGAGCGAAGTCCTTCAGGTCCAAGCCGCCACTCTCGTCCGAATCGAACATTCCGCAGAGCAGAACGATGGTTTCTTTAGTGAAATCACTTCCGTCGGGGTTGCAAAAGGCCTCGAACATTTCACTCCTGCTCAATCGGCCGCTGTTATTCGTATCAATGCGCTTGAATGTCTCTATAATGACCTGGAAGAGATATGTCGGTGCGTTGTTAGCTTCGTCATCAAGTCCGCAGAATTGCCTGGTCGTCATTCCCTCAGGGTGGAGGACGTGCGACGTGGCCACTCGGCCACCTCGGCCACTCGGCCGTTTTTCTCGGATTTCGCACCCTGAGAGCGTTGCCTCCCGCATAAAAACTGCAAGGAAGAATTCTTCCATGAAGGCTTGAACTTTGTTTCGTCGGGAGCATCCAGCCGCTTCATTCCGGGATAACGGAATAATGGTCGATAGTCAAGATGAATGTGTGTACGTCCGTCTCAGAAAATCGTTCTGAGGAGAGGCTTCAGGACGGTTGGCCCGTGGTACAGGGAGTCACTAAGGCTTGAGTTCGTACCAGAGATCCTTCTGGAGAGCAAGGTCTCTCGGGACCAGTGTTCGGTATAGTGAAGGTCAGTACCCGGTTCATGATATCGTCTCCGTGTGATGACCATAGGTGAATCAACTATTTATAGCGTCATAGATGATGATACCTGAGGGACCGATAATCGCTGGGATGATTCTCGATACCGATAAGAAGATTAGCGGTCCCCGGTGAATGCGCAATGAGCTTCGGATTCCGCGAGCGCTCCCACTACACCCCAATCCATTCAGACTCCGGTGGAACGCTCATTCGAATACGGCGGGCACCATCGAGAAGTGTTCGGTCAAGGGCAAATGATGATCGGACTGACAGCGCGAATGCAAGCTTGGGGTACCTTCGGAGATCTCGAGCGCTATCCCCTTCTTGTCCATTCCAGCCGGGCGGTCTGATTTTGGAACCCGAGCTCGCCTAGAAAGCCTCGCTCACTGAAGAGACCCTTTCCCCGAGGATATGACGTCTGACGTCATGAGTCGTCACGTTCGAGGGTCTAAGATTCGGGAGCTGAGCTTCGGATGACTAGGATTCGAGGATTCTATGAGGGAGAGTAGGGTCGATGGAAACAGAATTCCCCTCGGTTGTTTCCGAGCTGAGATGGGGGAATCAGAGGGCTGATAAAGCGACCGGCTGTCTCAGTACGCCGCCGCCGTGAACCGCGGGTCATCGAAGCGCGAGATTCCTGCTGGCCGGACGAACCCAATAACCATAACGGAAGCCGAACACTTCGTCCAAAACACTATCGTCGACGTGAATACTATCGTCGGAAGTGGCCGAGTCTGTTATGCACAGTCTTCCCTTCTGACGTCCCGCGACCGAGTCCTTCGCGCTGAGCGTGAGATATCAATGACGGACTGCAACAGTCAGGAACGATAGCCCATCAATTATTTCCAAGAGTTCCTCGCATCGTAGCAAGGGTGACAAGCTATCCATGGAGAGCATGTGGAAAAGCAACTCGAATCGCAAATGCTCCCCTCGAGCTGGCGCGCATCGATAACAGGGCGAATCCAGGAAGTCTTGGAGGGGAGTGACCAATGGCTTGTGGGTTCCGAATCGATACCGAAGTCTTTCTTCGAAATCGGACTTATCAGCAGCCGTAAGTCGCGAGAGAGGCGCGAGCACACGCTCGACGGAAGGAAAACCTGGCTCACGAAGATCCTCCGGTCCCGAAGGCTGAGCATAAGACTCGGGAGAGCGTGTCATCATTCCAATTCGGACGCTTTGACTCGGAGCAGTACGCTCACCCGCATTCAGAGCTCAGTCGCTCTCGAGCGAGTGAATTAGAATTCGCATCGTCCTGCGTCATGGTGTCACGATACTATACCAAAGCAGCTCGAGGTTCTCGAGGTTCAAACCAGCTCCTCCGCCGGGAATGCCCGCTACAAGCATCTTGATTCATTCATTTCTCCGTACAAATTCAGCGGAAGCTTCGAACGGACTTCTCAAGTCCTTGGCATAGCAAGTCTGATTCGCCATTGTCCGCGTGCTCGCCATGAAAAGATTAGTGTCTTTTTTCCCGGAATATCCTCTGCGGGGAGGACTTTATCATCCGAATCTCGCGACGTCGTGCTCTCACTCTCACCGGATAGGATGCCAGAATTCGAGCCCAATGACCAGAGACAATTGACCCTATATATAGGCTAGGTAGAGGCCTGCCGATTCCGTCAACTTACCGGATCCAGATTATTAATGTCGATCGTCTCAAATTGCGTGTAACCGTAGTTCGAAGTCATCATTGTTGAAAAATCCATTGTGATCTCATGTATCCGGAGCTTGACTCGAAAATAGGTGCGTCCAACTTGGATCAGGAGAAACTTATTTTTTGCTTCGTCGTTTCCTCGACGAAAGCATGCCAGATGTCAATCATAATCATGGGTTGTGCTGAAACTCTGGGGCGGTCCCACTATCTGACCGCAGGTGCCTTCGTAGAGAGAATGCAGAGCACGGGCTCATTCCCCGATCGCTACGCTCTCGGGAAGCCCCTGCCTCGGACGCAGGAAACCGTGGTATGGCCTTCTACTACCAACATGCCTGACTTTTCTTGAGTTGCGTCATGTTCTGAACCCCTCCGAGCAGCCGGAGGACGGTTTTCTGAGAAGTGAACGGGGAATTTTTAGGCGCGGAATGTGTCGGTTCCGATTGAGAGGAACACGAAAGCCGAATGGAGACCCGCGCTTCTCGCATAAGTAGCCGGCTTCTTAACCCGGAGCTGCGATCTTCCGCTCGGAACAACATCAGTGATAGGTGGACCTTAGAGCGAAGTTCAGATGGTGCAGGCGACTTGGCTGATTCACCGATCACCTAAACCCTTGGAATCATTGTTATCTAAAGACGCGATCTTCGCGCAAGGGGTTGTCTTTATCATCCCCCTTATCTGCGGACACGGGCCTAGGTTCGGTTTTCTCTCGATCGCATCAGGTTTAGTCGGAGTTCGAACCGTAGATCACCGACCGTTTCGGGGACAAGGTGCATGAGCATCTGATTCTCGTTCGAGGCCTGGGTCAGTTTCGTCGCAGTTGAGGGGCAGGGAAGGAATCGACAGAACTGCTTACAATTACCGACTGACAAGGAGTGAGAACAGGGAGTCGGGTAGAGGGAGTTAAAACCTCAATGTCCTCTCGAGGGAACGGAGTCGTGAGGAAGCCGCGGATCGCGGGAAGAATAGCAGGTTGATGATGGGCGGTGTCAGTAGACATTCACGATTGCGAGATTGAGGCAAAACTCCATGCTCTCAGCGATGATTTTCAGCTCGTCGGAGGGGAAGGGGGGTTGGGCTCGTCGCTGATCATCCGCATATAAATCATTCGTTCACGTCCGCATCACATAGCACTCGCTCATTACTTAGGGAGAGTTCATGAAGAAGAACTCATGGAAACGCATGGGGAATCAAGCGGCAGGAATGTGAGCCCAGAGTATTGCCCCCGAGTCCCCGCTTGTGCGTTCCGCTGCAGTCATTCCCGACGACATTGGAATCCCACGATTGAGTCTTCGTCCCGGATCGAACGCATCGATGCAATGTTTCGGGGCTTAATTTGTCGTGTGTAGTACGCCACGGTCGACCCTGTCAATGGGTTCCTCGGGAGGTTGTCTGATATGGAATGCAATCGATCTCGGCTCGTTAGTAATCTTGATTTCCCGATTCAATCTCGTTCGCCCTGAGATATCGTCAATGAAGCGAAAATACGATCTTATTCGAGGGACAAGCTGATCGAGATTCGCGTCGTTAAGGAACTAAAGCTCGTCTAAACCACTTTTCCCACCCGGAAGCGAGCGAGGGCGCGATTCACTCAACAGTCCTCATGCACCAAATACTTGAAGAACCCTGCGGCGACCCGAAACGTATCCGTCCGGCAGACCCACATCCAACTAGGACTTCCATACAGCACCTGTCCCCGCGCTTACGTCTCGGATTCCGGATGCTACGGCCGGAGCAAGTCAAGGGAGCCGAGTGGGGGGGTCTCACCTAAATGGCGTGTTGTTCATTGAGTCGACTCGCGGAGGCGATATGGGGTTTATTTTTAGAGTTCATGCTGATAACGAGCGGAGAGCTGACACAACTCCTTATCCCGACTCAAACTTCCAGCCCGAATGTGTTATCTCCGTCCACCTTCCCCAGTAAGCGAGTCATCATTATTCACGTCCGTACGACGTCCCTTTGTTCAATATTTGGAAACCACTCCGCTTTATTAGCAGTCTGAATCTAGATTGAGCTTACCCCGTACGAGAGTCTGAATTAGAATGGAGGTCTATTCGCATCACGACACGAATGGGACGCGGAGCTCTTGGGAGAGCAGGCGAAGTTCCCTCTGCAGCTGGATACCATGTGATCCCATCATCGACGGAGACCCCACTCGGAGGTCGAGAATGAGAAGTTCGTACTCTACACATACGTTCGTCGGAGGCTCAGGAGCTCAGAGCTTCCTGAAGGTTCCCTTCCTGATGCGACGGTAACAAGACGGCCGTGACCCTGACGACCCGAAGTCTCACTATATTCAGTGCTGGGGAAACATGTCGCTGAATTAGGGAAAAAATGCTTCCCCCGAGTTGTCCTGGATCATTCCGAGCCGTACTGTCCTCCACGGCACCCATGTGGCGAGCATCGTCCGTGTTGCTCCACAAGAGTCGCCGAAACTTCCGAGCTAGGTACTCGTTAGAACACCGCGCTCTTGCTTGGTAGTGGTCGCAAGTCTCCATCGTCTCACACGGAAGTTGATGACAGTTTTTTTGGGAACGAACGACGACACCGAAAGTCTCACTTGAGCAAGTTCCCCGAGCGCAGAATACTGTCTCCGAGTTTTCCATTTCCCAGGGACCTCGACGAGACTCTCTTGACCACACTGAGGAATTCCTTCTTCTCCATTCGCGGTTGTTCCCGAAGTTCCCGCGAACGATCCGCTTCATGATGATCCCCTTGCTTCGGGAGAGCTCGTGTTTTTGAGCGGATGTTGTCGTCTGGAACCTTTCACTCTCAAGGAAGGAATCCTCCCTTCCTGACGGTCACAGCGTCGGAGAAACTGGAATCCCCGAAACGAGTTGCGCAAGCTCTTGCGGGGGAGCTACGGAATGGAATCGAATGATTCAGTCAGACTTCAAAGCTGCGATATCTCGACCCGATACGCCGCCGCCGAGTGTTTCCGCATCGTTGGCCGCTGAGTGAGCGGAAGACCGAGCGGATGAACGGAGAGATTTCTGACTACCTGACGCCTTCCCCCATCGCAAGGATAGTCTACCCCATGTCCTCGCACGGTATCACCTGGCGGCTCCGGGGTCGGGAACGTCCCCGCAATAATTCTAAACATCGCGATGTGATCGAAATGCCCCGACGAAATGTCGAGAAGCTCTATGAGAGCGAGAGTTCTTGAGTCAAGCGTCATCGACTCGTTGAATGAATTTCCCGGGATGGCGATTGAAAAACGGAAAGCGTGAGGAAAACGCCGGCAAGAAATAAGAAGGGGGCTTCGAGCTTCAAGCGTTGAGATTAAGGACGCGACGTTGGCCCTGGCATCACAGTGGTACTGTACGCCATTGAAGCCGCTTGTTCCGCTATCGTTTCCAATACGGGGCACAGGAAGTCTCTGGATTGTTTCTCGTACAGTCAGGATTCGAGAACTTCTAAATTGAGAGATAACAAAGTCTCTAGAGATGCTGCAAAGCGATGTCCAATACTGAGCCGGTACCGCTCGTTTTGGAGCGGGGGGAAGATTTTCAATTTTTCCGGCTCCGGGAGAAAACCTCAAGCGGGTACTCTTGCCTGAATTCTCGAATTCGACACTCCATTCCGATCTCGCGCCAGTCGAAGAAGGAGCTTCAAAGAACTCCGGTCTATTCAGACCTCGAGAGAGACCAGTGAAGTTTCGACAAGGAGTCAGGAAATAATTTAATTTCGAAAGGATCGTTGAGGAACACCAGTAGAATTGGGAAACTTCCGGCATCTCGGGAAAACGAAGTCGAGGTAGGGAGCGTAAAAGCCGGATGTGGTTGCGCAGAGCGGCGAAGGCATTCTTCCAGCCGTTCTGAAGAACGGCAGCGTAGCGTAGTTGCCTCTTCAATGGAGCCTGAATCGCCGTATGACGTCATTGAGAAAAAGCGTTTTTTTCCTCTGGCCGACTCTGGCGATGGTGTCTCGTCGAAGTTCAATGCAGGCGCCACCGCCCTCGTCCTCATCGGCAATATACTGCCCTCCGAGTTCGGGTCTTCTCGTCTAAAGGGCCACCGGTCAATTGCTGTTTGGTGAACTGACCCACGGAGCGACCCGTCGGGCGACCGACCTACCCACCGGCCGGCCGGTGGGCCGGTGACACTGGACCAACTTGTTGGTTCGACTCGAAGCAAACAGAGGTATGGAGGGAGTTCGCCGGCTGCCTGTTCGAAAGGTTTAGAAGCAGTGCTTTCGGCGTCGTCGACGTCGTCGTTGAGTCGGCTACTGACGACAACGGACAGTTGGCAAACTGACGTTGACGTCGTTGATTGCGGACTGCTGGTAGGGTAGGACGGTATAGGCGGAGCCTCTCAGTGAAGCAGGCTATCCTCCAGCGAAGCGGTCGAGAACCCTCCTCCTCTGCCCTTTCCGATGGCGGGTGAAGCTATAGGTCCTACGAGGGCCTTCACCACGAGTAGATGAAGTGGCGGGTCTTCAGAGACCACTGATATCTGCAGAATTTCGACTAACTGACGTCTTGAGTCTCCAAGAAATTCTGAGTTGTCACGATTCGGCACCAACACGTCCGTCGATCCCCTCCCCCCTCGGACTGCGTCTTGTCATCGTCGAAGACTGCAGAGAACACAGATCACTCTAACACGGTTCAGGAAGCGCGGCTCATCACCTCCACAAAATCCTCTCTCTCATTCTCATCTCTCATTTCACTCTCACTCTCTAATTCTCCTGAATCTCCATCACGATTACACGAAACTCAATTCGATCGGTGAAATTGCGTTCGGGCAGAACCGGTGATCGGAAGGAAACTTTCCTGCTCGAGGATCTGATCTGAGTTGGACTCCACGCCGCCGTTACTCACAACCTCAACGAATCAAGCCAGCGCTCCCGGTCATCATCTGTTCGACTACTGCGAATCAACAGGTAACGTTCCCTGTATCTTTCGAAGGAAAAACTTCCTCCTCAGCTCTCAGAGTGTTTTTTTTTCCCGGCGATTCCAGGAGATTGCTGAGCGGCTGGAAGTTTTTGCGAGTGTTTAGTTGAGAGTTTGTTTGTGCTTCTTCCGAAGCACACGCGAGT